GTCAATTGCCAAATCTCAAACTGTTGAACAAATGCTGTTTTCGAATGTTTGTTGGAAGCTTGGTTTCAGGAAACACAGTATCGTTGAACTATGTTGGTAATAATGATATTTGCAATCATAATTGGCTAACACTGCTTTTAGAAAATGCATCCCTGTTTAAACGTTTAATTGAAAAGACTCAAATGAAGGATTCATATGGGAATCGAACATTGCAGGTTCTGATTCTAAACATAGATTTATAAATAAAATATTATTGAGGCACTGCAGAATTTTACACAAGCTGTCACTGGGACAGTACATTTTTAAAGGGGACATTGAATGTAAAATTCACTTTTACATGGTGTTTGCATATAAATGTGTCTTAGCAGTGTGTGGACACAACCACCCTACAATGCTAAAAGTTATCTTTTTTTAATTCCCAAAAAACCTAAACAGTCTCAATTATCAAGCCATTTTGATTTTCTGAGCAATGTGACACCCTTCATTTTCATTTTCAGTCTTCATTTTCTCCCGACATCAGAGCCACTTAGGACGTAGTGGATTAGTTTTGTTTTTGATGGTAATGTGCCACCGAATACACAAAAAACGGAAGAGAATTAAAGAAACATGCACCGAAACGGCTCGCTGCGAACAGAGCTGTTTTTGACAGCTAAAAAGGGTGTTGTTTTACACTACCATTGAGGAATTTTAACCAAAGTATGTTGCAGACATTTCATGAAGATCCTAAAGAATCATACAACTTGAAAATTGGTATCCGATGTCCCCTTTAAAACGTACTAATATGTACCATTTAGGTATTAACATGTACACTTTAGATACTAATATGTACCTTTAAGCTACAAAGGTGAACCTTTTGAAAGGCTACTGCACCAGTGACAGATTTTGTACCTTTTTTTTCTGAGAGTGTACATTAAACATTAAAAAATAATCTAGCAACACATCTGGTGACACAATGTGGCATACCAATATTTGAATATTTGTTTATTGTTGCACAATACCTACCACTACTACAGTGCATTCTGTGCAGTATTCAGTAAACATCAGCTTGTACTCCATTCCGACAATAGCCATTGCTCATGCTTGTGTGCGAGCTTTTGACAGATTTCCTGAGGTTTTTGTCCGGACCCTCCATGCTGCACTCAATCCACTCAACTGCATACAGGTCTCATGATGAGCCCGTATGTTTTGACTGGAGCAAACTGAGGCAGCCTGCTCGAATCCCACTCACTGCCTCCCACCACACACAACATAATCATAGCTTCACCCACAGGGGCCAACTAAACCACCATATTTACAACACGGCCATCACAACAGTGGTTTAGAAATCCGATATGTGACAGGAGCCGCACACCACGCAATTAGATCTAACTAGATTAACGTGTAGTGGGCCACCCTGGACTAATTATCCTTTTCCTTCTCGCAGTATGCTAATTATAGCTGTCTTAGTGACTTAAAGGCTGTTTGATTAGTCTAGATTTGCTGGATTCGGGGTGGCTTGAACACACGAGCAGGAGCGGAAAGACGGGGGATGTGTGCCTCAGGATGAAGGCAGTCTACCTCTAATGGAGTCTTGGCAGATGAATAGCACTGACTCATTTTGATTATATTAAAGCTTTACTAGAGCACAGACCTGCAGAAACACAGGAGCCTGTGATTCACCGGGGCTCTGAATCTCCCTGACGTAATGCAGCCTGGCTGTCTGGAACTGTACCGTCTGCCCCAGTGCAAGCTTGCTAATGGGCCAGTGACTGCTTTTTCATCTTTTCATTCTCTTTCAGCCAGCTTTTTGCCAGATGCCCTGGCTTCCCTGAAAAAAATCGTGCTAAATTTAGAGTAAAAAACAACAACAACTGGCGGCTGTGATTACCAGAAATTCACCATAAAAAATGCAGTAACTAAGCTTTTTGGTATTGGCATTTTAATGTCTATATACTTAATATTTCAGTTAATAACGGTATTTTGAAAAGTACACTTTGAAATAATCTGTTTTTTTTTTTTAATGGAAGCCCATTTCTTCCACAGAGTTAAAAAAAAAAAAGGTAATTGCGACTTTTTATCTCACAATTCTGACTTTTTTCTCTCAATTTCGAGTTTACATCTCGCAATTCTGAGAAAAAAAGGTCAGAACTGCGTGATATGAACTTACAATTCTGACGTTTTTCTCTTTATAACGCAATTTTTTTTTTCCCTCAGAATTGGACTTTATAACTCACAATTGCGACTTTATATCTCACAATTCTGAGAAAAAAAGTCATAATTGTTTGATGTAAACTCGCAATTGCGAAGAAAAGTCAGAATTGTTTGATGTAAACTCGCAAATGCGAAAAAAAGTCATAATTGTTTGATGTAAACTCGCAATTTTTTATTCAGTGGTGGAAACGGACTTCCATAGTTGTTTAATATTACATTTAAAGTTAATACATTTCAGATGTACTAAATTGCAACTTTATCATTACAAATGTAGAATTACCAATATATTTACATACATGACATAAAAGTTTCATATAAATTGCATAAAAGTTCATTTTAGTTTATTATAAATTCTAAGAAAAATGTTATTTTGGCAGTACACTTTAACTATATTTCAAAGACAATAGAAGTACTTATAAAATTAAATATAAAGATGTACTTAAGTCCAACTTATGTGGTCCCAAAAAGCACTGTAAAGTTTAGCAAATTGCATTTAATATAAATTTAAACTATCATACATTTGAGATTAACATGCAATTAAGTGCCCGAAAACATTAAATTCAGTTTAAGTATATTCTATTGTGTATTATAGTGTAATATTTCAATAATAAGCAATCTTTTTAAAAGTATAGTTATTTTTCACAAGGGTTAATAAATGACTATATTCTGTGTAATCATACAGTGTGCTTTATTAGTGTCCTATAGCTCATCTGCCGTAGTTAAAATGTCATTTTCACTTCCACATATATAATTTGACATGGAATATTTGAAAGTGAATGCAAACATGATTAAGATTTAAGACCAACTTTAAAATTTGTTTTTTTGTTTTTTTTGGTTGCAATATTACATTCAATTTAAAATGACTTTTCCTGTTTTAAGGAAGGAACTCAGTTATATGGGTTTGGACTGAATAAATAATGACATATTTTTCAGTTTTGGGTGAACTAATCACAATGATTGTGAAGAACCTAAAAGATAGTTGTTTTCAAATATTATCACATTCAGAATAGACAGTTCAGAAGACTATATCTGACTGTCTTTGACGGCTCAGGTTTTCTTGCAGGAGGCCACTGAGAATGAGGTTGAGGTCATGCACAGAGTTGACCCTGCCATTCTCTCAAACAGGAGCGTGTGACCTCATGAAATAGAGATGTCTCCCCCCACACACACACACACAGTTGAATCAGAATCAATGAGACAATTATTATGCGCTGGCTGTGGGAGCTTTCCGGGTTTGTTCTGAACTAAGATCGTGCCTGTGCATTTTAATGACGTGTTTAACAAGTGTTAGCATTAGTATGTTTGTGAGCTTGCGGTGTGTTCTCAACGATTGCAGGGAAATTTATCGAGCTTGTGAAGAGAAGTGCACCTTTATGTATGCTGCCGTGCTTTCGCAATATTAAGCTGTCACACAATTTATTCTGTAAGGCCTTTCAATAGGCTATTTGGTACAATAAATTGAGCAGGAAACAGCAATTGTCAGCTATACAAATCTTTACATGATATATTACCATATGGTCACTAAATTCCATAATAAATCAAAGAACCTGATGATTCATGTTTCAAACCTAAATTATGTGCACCAGCAAGTACTACTATATTATGAGACCAAGGGCCAGATTCACTAAACAGGGCAAATTAGCATGAGACCACATTCCCATAAAAGCGCAGATGTGAAAAGTTCTGTTATTGATCTACTGACAATGCACAAATCAAAGAACACAGACGCAGCCAAATCAGTTCCATAATGACTGACGCAATCTACCAAGAGCAGTGCAAATTAGCATCTATGATAGTCAAGTCAAGCACAAAATGGGACATGCTTTTTGGGCATTAAATAATGTTGCAAATACCGGTAAAGTGACTACCACAAACCTTTGGAAATCATGTTGCATGATTAATTTAAATACTCTTCTCATATAAATTTTGGGTTTGAAAGAAAAACTCTGCTAATGTTTCACTGCGTGTTTTTAGTAAATCCAGACAGTAGTTTTTTTTTTAAAGGGGTCATAACTGAGAAATTCCCTTGATCTTTTGACATATAAGAGGTCATTGTACTATAAAAACATCTTGTAAATTTCAGAACTCAAAACTTTCTCATTAGTCTAAAATCAGCCTATATTGAAGCCAATCTGACAAAACGACAGGTTGTGTAATGTGCCACTTTATGATGTAATAGTGTGGCTGAACTCCGCCTCCGCAGAAGATGATCAACGCCTGCTTCTACATCACTGTCTGTTTAGCCCCGCCCACCGATTCGCACATGTAGTAGGTAAATAAGGCAAAATGCAGGTCTAAGCAGAAACCAAACGATAAAGATGCTCCGAAGACAACAAGACACTGGAGCCGCGTCAGTAAGAACTTGGTCACTATTGCTTTATCTGTTATTACAGATCGTTTGATATGTAGTGCATATTTATGCGTTTTTAACCTAAATCACAGCAGCACTCATCTATGAAGAATGCAGGCTGTCAAACACACACAACTGTTAGCCAATCATAGCAGTGGGCATTTACTTCCGAGTCTACAATCCACCACGACTATTCAAACAGAGCGTTCTGATGAGGGGGGTCAAAACAGGACAGGAATGAGCCTATTACTTCTAAATTATGATGTTTTTCTATGTAAAAATCTTGATAACATTATAAGTGGACCTCAGAGAACAGTACAAAATAAAAAACAAAGGCAGTTCATGACCCCTTTAATGGCAAAAGAGGGTTTGTGCTGGTGCAGAAAGTTAGTAAGTATGACCCCATTTATGTTTATGAAACTCACACTTTCTAGATTCATGAATGACTCTCTGCCCTCAGTTTTGGAGTCTTTGTGGGAACGCTCTGACCCCTAAGCGTGGCATGTTTGGGAAGACTGGAGACCTTCAGACTATCCTCTGCCTGGCCTGTGCGAAAGACGAGATCACATATTCAGGTGCCTTGAATGGAGACATCTATGTCTGGAAGGGAATCAGTTTAATCCGGACAGTTCAAGGGGCTCATGGGGTAAGTGAGGGAACGTTTTCCACAGCGTCACCAGAATGACTTCTGTCCTCTGTGCTATAGATAATATAGCTTTTGATACTCTGCGATCTGTGCAAATTATTGCTTTTGCCAATGTAATAATTAATGTCTGTAAAAAAACAACAACCTTGATACGTGTACACAGTCCTAACCAGACGCGCCGCGACATGCAATAAAAGGTATCTTTTTCATGTTTGATTAGTTTGATAGACGTTTGGTCCTAACCAGCCACAACAGCGACAAGCTACGGCGGATTCTACAGTATTTTAGAAACGGTTTCTATTTTCTGCAACGTCGCGGCTGGAACAACAACATACAAACTAAGACAATAATAATTTTTAATTATGTGCTTTATTCAATGTTAAAAGTGTCTAATGTGAGTTAGAATAATATTTTGCGTGACATTTATAGCCATACTAAAATCAACAATAGATATTTGAAAATAAATTAAAGCAAGCATGTACGTTAAAACGGTGAATTCCATGCAAACCAACATGTGTATTCCAAACCAAAGATGGTATCAGTCACTGAGTATGTACTTTTAATAATGTTAAAAATAGTTCACATTTAAGAATTAGATAAATTAATAAATTTCTTCCAGAGAGAGCCCGCCCACACACACTTCTGACTGATTATGATATTTTATGGATTATGTCGCATCGCATAGCCATGTCGCGCGTCTGGTGTGGATAGACAAATTTCTTGTCACTGGAATCTTGTTGCGTCTGGTTAGGACAACCGGGACTTGTCACAGCACTTACATATTATTGCTCTTTTGTTGGTTTGATTACTTCTATTGTCCACATTTGGTTAAAAGAGTCTGCTAAATGACTAAATGTAAATTGTTACATTTCCAAACAACGAGAACGGTGCTGTTATAAATTCACTGTAAACCACGGCTTCTTGGGACTTATTGCTTTAATTTATTTCGTGATGTGAACCCTTTAAGATCTGCACATCTTTTTCAACTTTATTTGACCCTTAGTGCCAGCACTGCAGTGAAAGTTTGAGACTTTCGATTCTCTAATTGCTTTCGTTGTCAGGGACGTTCAGCCTCTCAGAGCCTATGTGTGTGTGTGTGTAGTCTGGTATTTTCAGCATGAATGCATGTGAAGAAGGCTTTGCCACTGGAGGCAGGGATGGCTGCATCCGGTTATGGGACCTGAACTTCAAACCCATCACCGTCATTGACCTCAGGGAAACAGACCAGGGATATAAGGGTGAGTCACAGCCTCTACAAACTCCCAGAATGCATTACTCTACACTGACATGTATTTTGTTTGATCCATTAAGTTGCCACTTATCTTTTGTTGTTAAATGTCAGGATCCCACAATGCAAAAGTCCTTTGTCTCTAACGGAGCTCTATCTCTTTTCTTCTTTTACTTTCTTTTCCTCTGACTCATCAGTAGCTAGAGGTGAAAATTCAAGAGGTGCGTTGTAGTGGTCAGTGCTCTTTATGCAGACTGTCCGCCCTGTGTTATATCCATAGCTCTTACCCCTGTTTGTCACCGATCCCAGATGTCTATATGTATTATCAAGCACCCAAGCACCCTCTCCATCCTTGACGGTCTACAGTGTACATCCTTCAGTATGTTTCAGGATCATGTCTGTTTACTTCCACAATTCCTTTCATTTGCTTACTAAGTGTTTATGTGATGGATCTGTGCAGGCCTGTCAGTGCGGAGCGTGTGCTGGAGAGGGGATCACATTCTGGTGGGCACGCAGGACAGTGAGATTTTTGAGGTGGTGGTGCACGATCGCACCAAGCCCTTCCTCATCATGCAGGGTCATTGCGAGGGCGAGCTGTGGGCCTTGGCGGTTCATCCTACCAAACCTCTTGCCATGACCGGCAGTGACGACCGCTCTGTTCGGTAAGAGACGAAAATAAACTAATACCACATCTAATTCACTCAGAATTACAAAAGATCTCTTTAATAGCTCAGTTGTTTTTCTAATATAAAAAATGGGTTAAATAGAGAACAAACTGAGAACCCTTGTGAAAAAGAAGTGCACTTTAAAAAAAGCATACTTTTAAAAACAGCATTCATTACTGAAATAATATAACTTGGAAAAAAACACTTAAGTGCAAACTGTTAATTGCAATTAAATGAACATGTAATATAGTTTAAATTGTTAGTAAATGCAATTAGCTGCATTTTTGACCCACTTAAGTCGGAAATAAGTTAATCTCTATTTGTAATTTCAGAATTACTTCTATTGTCTTTGAAATATGGTTTAAGTGTACTGCCGAATGTACTGATAAGCATTTTAATTTTAATTTTACTTTTAATTTTTTTTATTTCATTTTAACTTTTAATTTGACATTATTACACAGTGCACTTTTTAAAGTATCCTTAAGTGTGTTAAGAAACAGTCATGAAAGAACTCTTAACTACGCTTAAGTGCCTTTTTATTTAATTAATATTTTATTATCTGCAAGTACAGCTTTTTAAAAATATACTTTTAAGAATTGAAGTACACTACAAGTCCACATTCAGTGCTCTACAGTTAAGCGCTAGGGTTATTATAATTAGTTAAAAGTAAAACTAAAACCATAAAATAAAAAAATAAAAATTAAACTCATTTTATTTCAGCTAGCTGCCAAGGAAATAAAAATGAGTGAAAACTATATAGACAAAAAATAAATAGCCCTAATAAAAATGTCAAAAACACAACAAAATGACTAAAACTTTAACTAAAATTTAAATGAGAATGAAAACTATTAATAAAAACTATAATAGTATCTTAATCATACTACAATTAGACTGTTAACCGCACTTCATTTTCACAAGGAATTACTTGTGCAGTTCTGTTTCGTCCTGCTAGTTGCACAGAAAATTGACAGTAATTGACATTATACACTTCATGTGTCATGAGCTATAATGAAACCTCTGAGCAATAGTTTTCCTCAGTGAGTGTATTAAGCTCAGATTAGATAAAGACTATTAAGAACATGATCTTTAATGTTCAGTGCACTCATTTGAGTATCTTTATGGGTCATTACTTCCTCTTTTTCTCTTTGAATTGGAGGATCTGGAGTCTGGTAGATCACGCACTAATAGCACGCTGCAACATGGAGGAGCCTATACGCTGTGCTGCTGTTAGTACGGATGGTATCCACCTCGCTCTGGGAATGAAAGACGGATCCTTCACAGTGCTGAGAGTCAGGTGAAACACCCAGACAAAACAGAGCAGAACAGGACTGTCTAGAGCAGGAATACTAGAACAATTTAGCCTACCACAAGCTTATCAAAACTGCTTTCACTGCTTATTTAGAACAAATGTCTGAAGTGATAAGAGAAACATACAAAATGTGCAGAGCGGGGGCTCGTGAGCACTGGAATTGCGAACCACTGATATACCCCTTCACACCCTCATGACTGTGTGTCAAGGTTAATAAATACTCAAAAACAATTTGATAATGTTTTGACAGACAGTGTTATTTTAACCCATTGAATCCCAAATTTTGCCCAGACATGAAAATATCCAATTAATGTGTCCATTAGTAACCCATAAGCAATAAATATTATAATTATTTTTGGAATTTTTATGGAAAAGTATGTGAAAAATTGTGTTTTATGGTCGATCTCAATTGTGTCCGGTGGGATAATGTGTATACTGAATTAACATGTTTCTGCAGTCATCAAAATTCTTATATATCTCAGCCCAGCTATTTAAAACTCTGTTTCATCACATTCTAGGGTTACTATTGTGCAAAAAAACACTGATAGGAATACTGAGATAAAAGAAAAAAAATAATTGTTACTTTATTGTTACATATATCATAGAATTGTTGTATTAGTGCAACCAGTATTAAAACATCAATACTGTAACTTATTTGTAACATTAGAATTTTTTATTTAGTGCAGTATTGACTGTAACTTTATCATTGCCACATTTTATTGCAACCTTCACTAACAACTGCAATTGGATATAAATGTATACCTAAACTAACTGTATTATCCCAGCGGTCACTATTGTTGCCATCAACATGTTTACTCATTCTGTGACCACACTCAACAAAACTGAATAATTGTGAATTCATATATTAATACTAGACACCTTAAAGATAACATGTACCAAAAATCTTTGTCATATCTTTATGTTAACATACTTTACTAGCCTTTTGTTTTGGAGCTTTGATGCAGCCATCATCTTCTCGTGGTGCAAACAGGAAATAAACTGCTCTGGCCATGTGACAGTTTGCACTAACCATGTGACACTGCACATATTTAATTGAGACCCTTTAGTTTTTCCATATTTGCAGGAAATGCACTTAAACATCAGTAAGATTGTTAGAGCTTTATAAATGGAAACCTTTATGGTCACTATTGTGACCGATGGGATTAAATTGGTTAATGTTATTTATTTACTATTATAGTATTTATGAATATTTTGATTAATAAATACTATAACATTAATAGTATTTTTATATTTTCACTTTTGATTTTAATTTTAGTTTACACTTTAATATTTTTGTATGGGCTTATGTCATTTTTATTAGCTTTTTCTATTTCTATATAGCTTTAATTTGTTTTTACTTCAGTTTTATTTTCAGTAATTTAAAACTTTTTTATAATTAAGTTAGTTGCCAAGGCATTTTTAAAAAAAAGAAAAGTTTAACATTTTGTATCTATTGTTTATATTTCAGAGTTATTTCAGCTTTATATCAATTACCAAAAAACAACAACAACAACACTATTTTTAATAAATTATAGCTATTAATTAATTAATTCATTCATTCATTCATTCAGGTATTTGTTCAAATAAATAAATAAATATTTTTATAATAGATGAAAAGGTTTTCTTTAAAAAAAGAATAAAATAAAAATATATTTATATATAAATAAATAAAATAAAATTGCTTTGGTGACTAACGATTACACCACATGGCATATTAAGAGTAATCAAATTTAAAAACCAAATATGATAAACATAGAGTACAAAGAGTACATTTGTGAGAACCTTTCACGGGCTTTTAAACTATATTTTTAAGTTTCTTCCTTCATGGGCACACTTACATCTTTGACTCATTTGCACTGCATTTCAGAAAATGCTAAACTAAAAAGTACTTGTTGTTTTGATGAATGAGATGATTAAAATATGAGGCTGGTCTTAGACAGTTGTAATTGTTGGTTACTGCACATTTAAAACCAGTCAAGTATCCAGCAAAATCAAGCATCTGTTACTATTACCAGATTCTTTTATTCGCTGGTCACTCTGCACTTTCTAAAAGTGACCTCTGAGCTGTGCAGTTTGAGTATCCCTGGTCTAAAGCAACCTAAAATAAGTCAAATATGCAAATCTGTTAGACCTGTACTCATTTTGCAGGGATATGACGGAGGTGGTCCACGTTAAGGACCGTAAAGAGGCCATCCATGAATTGAAGTACTCCCCTGACGGAGCGCACCTAGCCGTGGGCTCTCACTTTCCAAAAGTGACCCCTGAGCTATGCAGTTTGAGTATCCCTGGTCCAGAGCAACCTAAAATAAGTAAAATATGCAAATCTGTTAGACCTGTACTCATTTTGCAGGGACATGACGGAGGTGGTCCACATTAAGGACCGTAAAGAGGCCATCCATGAACTGAAGTACTCCCCTGACGGAGCGCACCTAGCCGTGGGCTCTAACGATAACTCGGTGGACATCTACGGCGTTGTGCAGCGCTATAAGAAGGCGGGCGAATGCGTGGGCTCCAGCAGCTTCATCACACACATGGATTGGTCCACGGACAGCAAGTATCTACAGACCAACGACGGCAACGGTCGGCGGCTCTTCTACAAGATGCCCAGTAAGAGCTCTGTACTCTCTTTGAAGTAGGTTTTCCTAGTATTTATGGATAATATAATTCCGACTGATTGTGGTTTTGCTTGTGTTTAGGTGGCAAGGAAGTGACCAACAGAGAAGAACTGAAGCTTGTCCAGTGGTCTTCATGGACTTGTGTCCTCGGGCCGGAGGTGAACGGGATCTGGCCTAAATACTCTGATATCAATGACATCAACTCTGTAGAAGCTAACTTCAATAGTCAAGTTTTAGTTACAGCAGACGATTATGGATTAGTTAAATTGTTTCGGTACCCATGTGTAAGAAAAGGTGGGTTCACTTTTATTCTTGGTCTCGTTTTTGTTAATGTCATTCTATATTCTATTCTATTTATTGTATCCATTCTATTTATGCTTACTCGGTTTGTCTTTTTTTCATCTTTAGGTGCTAAGTTTAAAAAATATTTAGGACACTCAGCACACATAACCAATGTCAGATGGTCACATGATTATCAATGGGTGATTACTATTGGTGGAGCCGACCACTCAGTGTTCCAGTGGAAGTTTGTCCCTGAAAGGAAGTCAAAAGAAACTCTTCATTTAGCTCCTCAAGGTATGAGCCACATTCTTAAGGCCTTTCCACACTGAGCACGAGGCGAAAAAGCGAGGCGAATCAGAAACAAACTATCTATAATGCTTACAAGAATAGGCTGCATCCTAAAATATAATTAGAAGTACAATTAGCATCAAGCTACACTTGAAAATGTATGTAATTATTAATGTATTTTCTTACACACTTTAAACCATCATCGAGTGCTTGTAATAACTTCCAATTGTGATCCATAGTTGATTTTGATTAATAAGCAGACACATGCACTCTTTGTATGTTCAATAAAGCTACACTGCTAATACTGGTCATAAACATCCTTTATTGCTATAAAAATACCATGAGCTGCATACAAAACACGTAAAGAAAATATATCATAACACTCGCGCACGTGGAAGAAAACGGACGGTGCTCTACAGATCACATAATTCAGGAGACAATTAATAATAGAAATGTTATTCTGTATAAAGAACATGTGAGAATAAATCTGTTCTCAATTACCAACGATAACAAGAAGTCAGCATCCACTCTCTTCTCTTATCCGGGATACTCTTCTTCTGTGTTTGTTTACACTGGTTTTCGATATAAACTTGCACTTAAGTATGTAATTTCTGTTATAAGTACTCTTTTTAAAAGTATGCTGAGGGTAAGTATGCTAAGAAAAAGTAGAAAACTGCAGTTACGCTGTTTAAAGGGTATTTTTTGAAAATATATGTTAAAGGGGTCCTATTATGCTCTTTTACAAAGTCGCGAATCCGGCACTGTACTCCCTCATGTTGCGGAAGCTGTCCTCAGTAAAATGCTCAGCACACAATAGCAAATTGGGGTTATAATGCTCAGGGACAGAGTTAAAAAATAAATTGCAAACACTGTTTCCTGACATCATCCACTTTCAGAAGCCCAAACAAAGACGTTTGGGCACGTAGGTGAAAAAAACAATGTTTCAGGCGGTCGCGCACTGGACGAGAAGTGCAGCGTTGCATCCCCACCCCCCAACCATTCGAATTTCTGTAGGCGGGAATTATTTGTGATGAAATTCTAATGAGCCGCTTTGTGATATCACAAAGCCCGGAAACCAACGCTGTATCCAAACGAGCCGTTCGTTGTAGTTCTTGAAAATGGATTTAAAAAAAACGAAATATATCCCTTTGGAGTGGACTTTGAGATTTGTAACTTTCTAGATCTTTTTTATGCCCAAACATACACACTACACACTGACTAAAATTAAAAAAAGTGAAAAAGCATAATAGGGCCCCTTTAAATTAAATATATATTTAAATTAGTAGATGTTTTTGTTGCACTCTGAGCAGTTATAAAATGAGGACAAATAAACAAGGACAAATTTACACTAAATAACCCTAGTAAAAACATAAATTGCTCCAATGTTAAAATGTAAAACAAAGTGACAAACAAATATTTCTGTATAAAATTCTGTAAAATGTTAATCGGATTAAAAAAAACTGAAGAAATGATCAAACTAGTTCATAAACTAGAACATTTTAAATCTAAAAAAACTGATCTTAAAAATCTATTGAAGAAATGAATGAATGTCAAGTCAACAGCTGTGCTGCTTAAATACGTGCTAGATTATATAAGCAAAGCACTTTTTTACTAATGCAAATTGAGTCTACTTTTTCTTGTTTCTTTTTTTCTTTTGCATGCTGCTGCTCAGTCTACCATGTCTCTGTTCATTTTCCTAATGGATTTCTCACTGCTCACGTTGGCAGTTCTGTTCCTTAGCCATCAGCAGTTTTCTTAGTGATAAATCTGTAAAGGGGAGGGGCAGCACTTATAAAATGACTAAGTTACTCAGGGTTTCTCGAGAGATCATGATTAATGGAATCGTTGCTAATTTGTTAATTCATTTATTCGTTTTACTTGAGTGGAATGCATAATCAACACAGGAGTTGAATTTTTTTGCCCTCTCTGTCTTACAGAGACATTAGTAGACTCGCACAGCGAGGAATCCGACTCGGATCAGTCAGACGTGCCTGAGATGGACTCTGAAATTGAACAGGAAACACAACTTACTTACCGACGACAGGTCTGTAATGACATGGTTAAAAAAGACATTGTTTAATACATGATCATCAAAACCTGACGGGAGGTCCTCCCTTGGGTCTGAATTCCTTAACACATTCTCCTCAGTTGTGTGTTTTGGGAGTTTTATGATGATGTTTTTTGGCCCAGGTTTACAAAGAAGATCTACCTCAGCTCAAAGAGCAGTGTAAGGAGAAGCATCGTGCCATGGCTATGAAGAAAAGGGAACGAGCTCCAGCCAGTGGATTGAGGTTGCACTTTATTCATGGGTAAGTGCTTAAATAGATCCCAAACAGCATTGACAGCCATCGTGGTTTCATATTTGAGGAGCTCTCAAAGTACTGAACAGATGGCAAATGAATTATTACTCTCAAAAGCCTGTCTCCCAAACATAAACATAGTGTACTGTTTGTACTAGTGCTGTCAAACGATTAATCGCGATTAATCGCATACAAAATAAAAGTTTTTGTTTGCATAATATATGTGTGTGTTCTGTGTATATTTATTATGTATATATAAACACACACACATACAGTATATATTTTGAAAATATTTACATGTATTTACATGTCTATATTTATATTCATATAATTTATATTATAAATAAATATATTTAATATATAAACATAACCTATTTTTCTTACAAATATACACATGTGTGCATTTATATATACATAATAAATATACACAGCACACGTACATATATCATGTAAACAAAAACTTTTATTTTGGATGCGATTAATCGCGATTAATTATTTGACAGCACTAGACTTTGTACACAAACCAGCAACCACGTTACAAACAGCCTGACCACTGTGACCTGCTTTTTTATACAAGGACTTTTTTTGTTGTTGTTAATTATTATTACACTTAGTTAGAGTATTAATATAATATAATATAATATAATATAATATAATTTATGATATGATGAGGAAGTAGAATAGCAACAATTATTCTAAAACACCAGAAGAACAACAACTGACAACTAATGCTTGAAAAATAACTAATATTTAATAGTCTTAATAATGTTAATTTAAATAATTCAACATTTTTTATATTTAAATATTAATATTAATATCAGTGTAATATTAATATTATGAGTGGACCTCAGAGAAACAAATAAAACATTGAAAACAGTGGATGATAATTATGAATAAATGTAATATTATTTTTAAAATTATTTTAGTGCAGTCAAACGATTAATCACATCCAAAATAAATATTTTTGTTTACATAATATATGTGTGTGTACTGTGAATATTTATTATGTATATATAAATACACACACATGCATGTATATATTTAAGAAAATAATATAATATAATATAATATAATATAATATAATATAATATAATATAATATAATATAATATAATATAATATAATATAATATAATATAATATAATATAATATAATATAATATAATATAATATAATATAATATAATATAATATAATATAATATAATATAATATAATATAATATAATATAATATAATATAATATAATATAATTTATGATATGATGAGGAAGTAGAATAGCAACAATTATTCTAAAACACCAGAAGAACAACAACTGACAACTAATGCTTGAAAAATAACTAATATTTAATAGTCTTAATAATGTTAATTTAAATAATTCAACATTTTTTATATTTAAATATTAATATTAATATCAGTGTAATATTAATATTATGAGTGGACCTCAGAGAAACAAATAAAACATTGAAAACAGTGGATGATAATTATGAATAAATGTAATATTATTTTTAAAATTATTTTAGTGCAGTCAAACGATTAATCACATCCAAAATAAATATTTTTGTTTACATAATATATGTGTGTGTACTGTATCATATCATATCATATCATATCATATCATATAATATCCAAGTCATTGAATATTGAGTATCTGCCGATACTGAGTCCTGATCCAATACTTGTATTTTCCTAGTGCTTGGTGCACACTTCAAGTACATTAAAGTCATAAAGTTATTAAAATCAATCCAAATTATACAGGGATGTGCAGAGTATCTCAGAGACAGGGGCTCATGTAAATACTTACAATTAACAACTATTACTACAGTAATATGTATAACGTAATCTCAAATAGTCTGACGGCAGATAAAAGTTAGCAGTAAATAAATGACTGTCGAGTGATTTGTTACTAAAGTGCGCATCAAATACGTTAAACACGGAAGGCGCTAGAACAGACCTTGTTCTAAGATGAACCTTAGTCACCCTTAGAGACTATAGAGCAGTCAAGGTCAGTTCACACATCTTATAAAGGTTGTCTCCAGGTTGATGTTCTTTGACTTTACCAATACCTTCAAGATCAGCCTGCCTCTCTGACTCAGACGAAGCTCAGAGTGATGCATGTAGACACACCTACAGTCTGCTGGATTATTAGACCTTTCTGACAGCCTCCAGCTGTGTTCTGGAGGAGATGGTGACCAACGCTGAGGTGTCTCAGGAGCTCATGCTTTCCAGCTGCTCTGAAATAAGTTGGAGTGCAGGAAGAAAGTGCTGTTCACACGTGTGGAAGTTGTGTTGGAAGCTGGACTGGGTTGAACTCACAACACAGTTGGCCATCAGTTTTGGTCTTTTAAAGCTCAAATGTGCTAATCCTTCTCAAAAACCCCCAGATGAACTCAAAGGCCTTAAATGACAACCACAGCTGCATCCAAACCAAAGTGAACTGCAAATGTGTAGCATTTGTTTCAAATGCATCCGTAGGTCATCAGATGGATTGAGGGTTACGGATTAAAGTCTAAGAACAGTAAGAGTTGTAATTTAGGGTGACCATACGTGCCGTTTTCCCAGGACGCGTCCTGGCCATGATTTTTGTATTGCCTAAAATATCTAGGTTTTGGCTTTGTTTGCGTGTGCAGACCGATCGGTGTATGACATCAAAGTACCATACAGACGGTTATGCTTTCGAAACGCTCTCGAGGTACTTTGATGTCAAACACTGATCGGTCTGAGCCGCACTGCTTTTAAGTCGAACACACCTAATATGTACGCGTAATTGCATCGCTTTGACCGTAGATCCCACCTTCTCACACGCCATGATTGGTCCATTATGTACAATGCTTGCATGTTATTAGTCAAACTACTTTTTGATCATTACCTTCAGCAAGCATGAAAACAAAGCAAAAACAAATCCTGGCCAGGACGCGTCCTGGGAAAATGGCACGTATGGTCACCCTAAATAATACCATCTAAACTTTTCTAAAGACAGTAAGTTCCCCTCAGACATGGATTCTTATAAACTCCTAAACCTAAATGAATCGCGATAGGTTTAGCATCTCAACCGATTTGAATCGTCACATATTTGAATCGATTTCCAACCGGCTCGCGGTTAATCGTTACATCCCTATAAATTTACCATTTGATGAATTCTCTCGTTTGAGTAGAAAACCGCCCAAATGTGGCTGCTTCAGACTTCAGTGCCAGACTCGTAGTAAAACCAGGCCTCGGCGGGAATGGAGGCGAGAGGATCTGTCAGCGAACCAAAATGAAAGAAGCTAAAAGCATATATAACATAAATTGTAAGCACATTCCAAAAAGTTATTTTACACGTAACATTAATCACCTTTTTTCAGGAAATCGAACCGGCATGAGAAACTTTCAC